ATCAATCGATCAATCAATCAGTCAGTCAGTCAGTCAGTCAGTCAGTCAGTCAGTCAGTCAGACGGTCGGTCGGTCGGTCGGTCGGTCAGTCAGTCAATCAATCAATCAACAGCTATAAAGCAAGGCTGATTGCTACGTAGAAAACGTACTGCGCCTTTCAATAACACGCGGACTCTAAAATTCAAAGCTCAACTGACAAATTCGTTATTCGCTTCCGTCAATCGAATGTTCCCGAGGCGGCTACTCCCATCTTCCGACTACTGCCGAGCACGCAGTAATCAACAAAACAGTGCTCGGCAGTAGTCGGAAGATGGGAGGAGCCGCCGAACATTTTATTGACGGAAGCGAAAAACGCATTTGTCGGTTGAGCGTTGAATTTTAGAGTCCGCATGTTATTGAAAGGGGCAGTAACCCGACAATGACATGATAGAGTCAAAAGTGAAAGCCAAGATATTCATTGGATAATGGTAAAAAAGTTGTTTTGTATTTCGCAACAATGGCAGTATTTACTCCGGAAGAAAAGTTTTTCGAACTAAAGCCTTATTATCGGCATGTTATGGTCAACATTTTCACTTTCATCAATTGAAAACGTCTGTATGTGAAATCAACCGGTATCGCTGAAAACCAACGAAAAAGGTTACGAAAAGGTTACGAAAAGCATAATTTGTTAAAATTCACAGCTTTGCATCCTTGTTCTCAGAGATGGCAAAGTCAGAGGAGCCTGAATTAAATTTGAATTGAATAATTGTAAAAATGACTGCTAGGTTGGCAAAGGACGTATTTAAATTGATTCACTGCAACAACGAATTAACCGTTCAATATGAAAAATAACACAGATTTTGAAAAACACTTTTCAAACATTTTTTTTAAAGAAGTAAAGTAGGAAAACCACATGAGACATTTGAAATGCGGGCGTTTATGGATATCCCAACCAGGAAAAGAGAATATTTCTTTTTAAATAGAAACCTAGGTGAACCAAATACAATTATACTGAGCCTTCACAAGAAGCAACCTCTATTTTCAACCGTACATTATAAACATTACCTCTATTTTTTTCATGGATAGGGGCATTGTTCTGACCTGGCTGGGCTATGCAGTTAAACTGCCCTGGAGGAAACAGTACAGACCCTCCCCATGAAAACTTAACTTGCCTGTTTATGCTCTAGGCTAGACAATGTTATAAAAACAACTTCTAATGAAGAACTTGTGACTTTAAAAAAGATTCACAGTTACAAATACTACCACATTTTCTCGTTGATTTAACGTAAGTGTAGGCAGAATGCCGGACAAAGCTCTCCTTGGTTGTCATACAGCAAAGTTTGTTCATAGGGTGTGGAGTGTGCAAACTATATCGAACTAACTAGGCCAGTTCATGAGCCTAGTATACCTATTGATCGATGAGAGTTCTAGTTCCATATCGTTGGGTTTTGAAAAATGAACGCAGGACGCGGACCAGACAACGTTACCAGCCTTGAATTAACACCTGGGGCGTTCATTTACATCTCAACCTTGCGGACCCGGCTTTTTTTTCCAAAAAACTTGATATTCATACAAGGCCTGACATTTACACGAGAAAATGTGATAGTATTAGCAAAATTCACTACTCACCGCTTTGCATGCCTGCGTTTGAAGTACCTAAACTTACTACACATTATCCACGAGTGTGGACAAGTTTAAGCAAGCAATGTACATTTGTCTCGGTAGACAGTTTCTGGAGTCTTTCAAGTTAAAATGAAGAGCATATGACCCACTTATAAATGATGAATATAACACCTACATGTATGTACTTATTATTTTTTGAGTATGCTCCATTCTATGGGTTGGCTGGCTTGGTACGTGGCTGTCGACGACGAGATTGTTCTTTCCCATCTTTCTGTGCACCGTTTTCTAGCTTTCTCTTGCTATCCTCTTTGCTATAATTCCTTTGCATGGCTGAAAATTAACAAAAAAGCACAATGAACAATGCTCTGTAGCTGGAAGGTCCAGCAAAGTTATGAACAAGCGATAATCAATAATCATCAATTGATATACTATTAGTCTGTTATCATATATAGACACGTGTTCTACTGGAAAGTACACCACTCGTACAATTCGCACAAAATAACTCACCTTGGACCCAAGTGGTGTATTTTCCACATTCTTATTAGTGAGGATATTGTTGACATCATTTCCCTCTTTTTCATGGTTCTTTGTGCGAACAGTCAGTTGGCACAACGAAAATTAAACTTCAGATACACTGTACACAGTCAGTGACAGTGATCAGACGTCTTCTAAACTAAACATCTTCCAACATAGTGATACATTAAGTCTGGTTCAGACCTTGCGGAAACCTTCCAGAAGGTGTTTTGCAATATGGAACATATTCAATCATGAGATGACTGTTTTCAGTGCTTAAAGACTGGTTTTCACAGCGTCATAAACATACATGCTTGTGCTTATGCTTAGCTAACAAAAATCAGTCTATACAAATTTTATCCAACAAATTCTTTCTTGTTTACCTTTACACTGATGTTTCTAGTTTTCATTCTCTCTCTCTCTACCTCCCTCAAGTTTATATTTTTCAATCTCTGTCCCTCCCTCCTTCCTTTCGTTTGTTTGTTCATTTACTTAGTATACTTGTTTATTTATTTAACCACACAAAAGAAGAAAAAGTGGCCAGGAGACTTCCATCACTACTAGGATTAATGACAACTTTTGAAGTTACCAAAACACTCTTTTTTTAAAATTACACTAAAAACTTGCAAACTAATTAGCTTTTACGAAATGTATGAAGCAAACACTTATCTTCCGGATTTAGAGTGTAGCAATTAATTGTTAGTATCTAATTACAGTGCTGGAAATAATTTTTCTTCTTTAACAGGACATGTGTCCTTTCAAATCTTCATTTTGGTCGGACATCTTATCAATTTAACCGGACATTAATTTGCATAATTGATTAGCATAATTAATTAGCATAAGAAAAGTTATTAGCATACTGCAAAGATTTTCAATACAAATCGTTCAAAACTGTATTTAAATTTGATTTATTTATCACTTATGATTAACTACATGACTTTATCTACTAGATGACTGCACCAATCTCTCCTGGTTATCTCCTGATTATATGTTCTTCAAGCAAACCTAGTTTTCCACACAGGAGCCCATCACTAGGAGTGTGCAACTTCCTCAATTACTCCTGTCCCGGTGTTTTCACAGACCGATCTATTTTTAGTTTGAATTTACCGCGAATTCAACCCCCGAAGCAACCTCAGTAACCAATCACAAGCACAGACTTTATAATTTCACCAGAAGATCAGGTTGCCATGTCCACCTGAGGCCTCCATTTTTCCCCTTACCGATGCGCGCTGAAATAGACCAGAACTGACCTTTTTCGAGGGAAAAGAAGCCTAAAAATAGACTGGTCTGTAAAAATACTGTGACATATGGGAGTTGCAGGCTCCTAATGATGGGCTCCTGACCAAAGTTGACTCTAGGTACATACATGAAGGGCTAACAGCATATCGCAATCCACGTAATGGATAATAGGGCGATTTCTGAAAAGTACTTTATTTGGCAAGTACAGGAAAGATGAACACTTCTGCTTTATGATATGGCAGAAGCC